TGAGGGTATTAAGGCCACATCTGCGTAATTGTTTTAAAAAGTAGATTCTTGTATTACATTTGGATACAATAGATTGAATATGGCTTTCCCATCCTAGGTCATCCTGGATCGTAACACCTAGCAATTTAGATTGACTAACATTACCAATATTAACACCATTTATCTGAATCATTGGAGGTTGTGATTTTACACGTTTACAGCTAATTAGCATTTCCTTAGTTTTCTTTTCATTAATCTTTATTCTGTTGCTAGTGGACCAGCTACAGATTTCCTCACAGACATTTTTAAAGGTGCTCGGTTCTTTACTAGAAATCTTTTCTGACACCATGGTGTCATCCATGTATTTAACAATAGGAAGATTAACTTTAAGGTCATTAATGAAGATAATGAAAAGAACTGGCCCGAGCCAGGACCCCTGAGGCACACCTCCCTTCGGACTTAGCCATCTCGAGAAGTGATCGCCAATACGTACTCTATGCATTCTATGGCTTAGGAAAGCATGAATCCAATTTACCAAAGTTGTACTAACATTTAATTTGTTAAGTATTTCAATTACAATCGTATGGTCAATAAGGTCAAATGCTTTTTTGTAGTCTAAAAGCAGGACTCGGGTCTCATTACCTTGGTCTGCAGCTTCAAACCATTTGAACATTATTGAGATAAGGGCATCAACTGTTGATACACCTTTCATACAGCCGAACTGATTTAAATCAATCCTGTCCTGAATTTCATTTAAAAGCATTTCTCCAATAATACTTTCAATTATTTTCCCACATACAGAAGTGTGGGAGGATTAACTTTTGGGATAGGGACAATAGTTGCAGCTATCCATTCGTGAGGGACAAACGATTCACGTAAACTGGAGTTAGCAACTGCACAAAGAGGCTTTGCTAAAATGTTGGCAAAGTCCTTCAAGACCCATGTGGGTATACTATCAGGCCCTGGGGATTTGTTTACACTTAGAGCTGTCTCTTTCTGCTAATTCTTGTTGGTTACCATTACATAGACTGTTTGTCAAGTAGTTTAGAGGGCTGTTTAACTTAGTTTTGTTCAATAATCTATTGGTCTTACTCCACCATGATTTTACATCAACCTTGTAGAGCTGCGAAACTTCCTTTTCATAGTATCTGCGTCTAAGTTTTTTAGAGGCTTTGTTTACTTTATTTCCGAGTTTCCTGAATTCAATCATGTTGCCTTTCTTGAGTTCAGTTTGACGTCTGTAGATCAAGGATTTGTAGTAACTTGTAACCCATGGCTTTTGTCAACATTAGTGCGAACAACTTGGATAAGCGGAAAGTGTTTTTCAACAAGAGTTCTGATCCGAGAAGCAAAGAATTTGTACTGCTCAGCAGAGGTTGCTTGCGCGTATAACTCATGGATACATTTATTAAATTCTTGCGATGACACAAACTTAAAGTTGAATGTTTCCAAAACAAAGGAAATGATTATCGATTTCCTCAAATATGGTACCAGTAGGAGTTAACAATCTCAACTGGCTCGTTATTTAAAAGTGCGACTTCAGGACTGTGTCCTTTCTTTTGCCGGAAATCGGTAATCATTTCCTTTGTTTTGGAAACATTCAACTTTAAGTTTGTGTCATCGCAAGAATTTAATAAATGTATCCAAAACTGGACCATGACCATCATTTCCATCTTTAAGAAGTGTAAGTACAGCAGAGTCATCTGCAAACTTAACAATAAAACTATTAACTATCAAACTGTACATAGGACACAAATGTTTTTCTCTATCACACAAATCTATGAATGCTACAGGTAACTAAAATTATCATATTGATTCAAAATATATGTTTAATAGTATCTTGGGATACCATGGATTACCAACTTACTGTGCCAAGGGACACTTGGCATCCCATTTGTGGCATCTTGCCAGTTGTGATGTCCAGGAGAAAAACAAAATAATACAGATCTAACCCCCATTTTGACAAGTTACTACTCTAGTAGTATTTTATCATAACTTTATTTATTAAACACTTAATTCAACCTGCCTATAGAAACCCCCTTCCCATGAACCTGGTTACAGGCCTGAGTATACTTTCTTTCTTGTTGATACATTTTTCCATTCCCATGTTCAAATCCAGTGCTAAACTTCTTATGTTCATCAAAAAGAAATTGTGGAATGAACATGGTAAACCATCCAATTCCAAAAGAGAGATATAAATGGGTTGTGAGTGAGGCAAGGATGAAGGGTAAAAAGAGTACCCAAAACATTGCACTCTATGGTTATAATGAATTAAAACCAAAGAATTAAAAAAAAAACACAAATATTGTCATAAGGATGTTCAAGGACATTCAGTCAAACTTGCACCCTCGTTTGCATATGATGAATATTCATAATATTTATTCCAAAACAATTAAGCAGACCGTCTGCTATGACAATGAAATTGATAGACATACATGGCAATGATCCAACCAATCTTCTACACAATGCTATTGTTAAGATAATAAGGATAAACAATCATTAGGCCTATGTAATTATATTTTATTGTTGCCAACTCAATCAATTGTACACATGCTTATTTAAATAAAGCACAATATACTATATTTTTATTTATTCATTTCAATGGTATTTAATGAAGGTAGGCCCTCCCATATATGCACAGGGTGTCAGCTGATGTTAAGGCCCCCTTTAAGAAAATAAATACACTTGGCAAGATTGATCATATATAGTAAATTAAAAAAGGAGCATTTTCCTTATGAGCATACAATAAAATATAACACTACTACTGAGAGAAGCACATACATTCAATTCACCCATAGTGACACTATTAACACTCTGACCGCCAGGGGTTTGAAAAAATACTATCAGCAACTGCCAGACTTTTTAGCAAATTTTAACACTTCGGAGCTTCGTTGAAAGTGCATTATGTGATCAGATAGACATGTGATGAATACTACAAGACTACAAGTACTACAAACATCTTAGCTTTTACAATGGTACCAAACAGTTTATACTAATCACAATCTGCAACCTGTAACAGTAAAATGAAAATGACTCGCTTCTTGGAGATTTATGCAATTTCGCACAACGAAGCTGAGATAATTGCAATTTTGTGAAAGTACATCATATACCGCTACGCTCAATGTAAACAATCAAATAGTGAAATACTTACGGTTCAGACTGAATATAGTGTTCAAATTGTTAATGATTGTCAGTAATAAACCCATCTAACAGATTCCGTTAAAAAAACCTGATAAAAGGAGATCTCCGTGTTTGGCGGTCACGCGTTGCGTTACCAAACACGGAGATCTCCGTATTTGGCGGTCAGAGTGTTAAGAGTGTGTATTTAAAAAAGGAGGACATTTATATAATTGTGGAATTCGAAAAAAAACACCATAAAGAAACAAGTGGTAGAAACAATAAGCAGATGTTTATCCAAGAGTGAAATATTTGTTTTAATAATAAATAATTATAATAGAAACTACATCTCAAATGTCACAACCTATCAATCAAGATTAAACCATAGCAATCAAACAACTGCAGAATCTAAATGCAGAATTGTAATGTAGTAGTTTGACAGATAATAAAACACAAGACAAAGTTTCAGATATTTTTATTTCATAAACTATATTGAATAAATTGTATAGTACATATTTACAATTTATAAACTTAGCACTTTATATACATAATTTTTAAAGCACTTAATTAATCTGACCTAAATACATTAGTAATTTTATAATTTATTCCATGCCACTACACTGTATTTAATACCTGAAACTGTTTTATCAATAATAATATCACCATGCATCTACTCGGGTATAAGCCCACTTCATTCACATTATTCATAAAGCTCTGTCTAGTCTATCAAATTTGATTAGACAAAAACATATTACATGCCTAAATATGGTCATGATGACATCACAACATGACCACATATACATTAACGTTGGTAGGGATATATTCTTCTAAACATCAATTTTCCTTACAAGAACAGAATTATTTGAATATATAGGCCAATCCTCTTTTGGTCATCCAATTACTTTGATGTGATTCCATGGTGTAACATAAACCCAAGAGAGCATGGAAAAATTAAGCCATAACTTGGACGAATCAATGCATAACAAAAATATTAAAAATGTAGGAGGAAATTATAAATTGTACTTACTTCCTGTTTTAACTGGTTCCATCAATGGACTAGATGAATATACCTAAAAAAAGTATAGA